TCTCTCTCTCTCTCTCTCTCTCTCTCTCTCTCTCTCTCTCTCGCTCGCTAGCTGATTCTCCAGCCCTGTGTGCTTTCATTAGATAGTGCACCTTCAGTGTTCTGTGTACACATTCGGGGAGGTCAGCTTCTGCCTAGCTTTCCATAAAATACACCCTCCATCACTTCTGTCTCCAGACCACTATGGCACTTGTTGTCAGACATGTGTCTTAGTTAGTTACAATAGTATTGTCTAAGCAGGTCCTGAGAGCAGGATTGTCGGAGCAGGTCCTGAGAGCAGGATTGTCGGAGCAGGTCCTGAGAGCAGGATTGTTGAAGCAGGTCCTGATAGCAGGATTGTCAGAGCAGGTTCTGAGAGCAGGATTGTCGGAGCAGGTTCTGAGAGCAGGATTGTCAGAGCAGGTCCTGAGAGCAGGATTGTCAGAGCAGGTCCTGAGAGCAGGATTGTCAGAATGATTGTCTGAGCTTATCACGGAAGGAGCTAGGATTGTCTGAGCATATCATGAAATGAGCTAGGATTGTTTAAGTTATCATGGGAGGAGCAGGAATTGTCTGAACATATGAAAGGAGTTAGGATTGTCTGATCATATCATGAAATGAGCTAGGATTGTCTTAGCTTATTGTGAGAGGAGCTAGGATTGAGCTAGGATTGTCTGAGCATATCATATTGGTAGCTAGAATTGTCTGAGTAAGATGTGATAGCTAGAATTATCTGGGTCAAAGTAAACAAGCCCACAGAGCTGGACAGAGAGGAAGGAGTAGGAGACAGACAGAAGGAATGACAGATGGAGAGTTAGATGAACAGACAAGAACTGACAGAGTGACAGAGCAGGTAGAGAAGTATAGAAAGGTATAATGAGAGACAGAAAGAGGAAAGGAGATAATTCGAAATATGGGGGTTGGGCGGAGGGGGAGGGGGTTTCAGCAGATATAATTTTAAGGAGGGAGTGAAAGAAATTGAGTATAGGGGAATGGAGGAAAGAGAGACAGGTGGGGAGAGAGAGATAGAAAGCAGTCAGGGGGCTTTAAAAGAAAAGAAATTAGGAGAGAAGATAGTAAGAGAGAGTGAATAAGCAGAAAGATAGACACAGCAGCAGCCTTGTATTATGTGATGGCAAGATGTTGATAGCAGCATTCATAAACAGTGTTAGAGACCTGGAGTTGACCTCTAGACCAGCGGTTCTCACCCTTTCTAATGTCGCGACCCTTTAATGCAGTTCCTCATGTTGTGGCGACCCCCAACCATACAATTATTTTAGTGGCTTCTTTATAACTTCAAAAAATATCTGTTTTGCGATGGACTTTGGCAACCCATGTGTAAGGGTCGCTTGACAATTCCCCCCCCCCCCCCCCCAAAAAAAAAAAGGTCGCAACCCATAGGCTCAGAACCACTGATTTAGACTGTGTTGATAGATGAGTTTAAAATAGCAGGCATCAGCCATAACATGTGCAAGTGATTAGTGCGTTTGACACATGGAGGAAGGCCTGGGGCTCTTTGGGTAATAAAGAGAATAAAAGATTAATAGATGTTTTGTTTGGCATTCACAGAGTGGTAACAAAGCGTTCTTTTTCTTTCCTATGTTGTCGGTGCTGTTTAGTTCTTTCTTCTTCTTCTTCTTCTCTTTAGCGTTCACCGGCTGTAAACTTTGACAGAAGGTTCTGGTTGTTTATCCACTCCTAGGCTTTGGTCTTGGTCCAGAATTTGATGAACATAACATGCTTTATTGATAAAATACAACTGATGTGTGAAAGAGGGGTGTTTGGAAGGGCCGAATGACCCTTGAAAAATAATGTTCATTCCTTTGTTCATTCGTTCGTTCATTCCAAAGACAACAGGAGGTGCACTGTCACCACCAGCCTTTATTGTGGAGATCATCATCATCATCAGTTCTTGTTATGCCTAGTGGCACATGAGGCTTCAGAGAGGACTTTCCATTGGCATAGATTAAAAGAAATAAGGGATGCAAAGAATAGTAACACTGTAATGCTACCATGCATGTCATAAGAGACAACTAAGGATGGTTAACCTAAGAGACTATTCCTGGAGACTATTCCCCAAATGGGTTCCGTGGCCACATTGTGAGGAAAATAAGAATCGACCCACTGACTTTCAGCAAGCATGTCTTAGGAGTTGACTAATTGGGGGCAACCTTCGAAGTCGGAGTACAACTGCCTGAGAAACAAGGAACTTATAGTCTGCCTACAGATAAGCCAGATGTGTGAAATGATTGTGCAAGCTACACTTAGGTGCTGGAACAAGACTAAAGTCAAGAGGTGGACGAACACCCAAAACTTTCCACTGGAGTTAACAACCAGTGAACATGAAAAAAACAAAAATTCTGTACACGACTTTAGCTGCAAAATCCACACTGCCTGACCACACACTGAAGATACATGCCTACAGGTTGTAATATAAGAACACTGGAATTGCAGCTGATCATCATCATTATAACATGCCCTGTCAGGTGGCGTAGACACTCTTGTCTCTCTGCATATCTCAGTCCTTGGTATTCCTGACTCAATTTCAGACTGTAAAGCATCATTTCTCTTGGTCTGCCTCTTCTACCGTTGATCTTTCCTGACATCACAATGTTTCACAATGCCTCTATTCTCTTCACATAACTGAAAAACACAGACTGCCTCTGTCTTCAAGTTGAGAGGGGCAGTTAAATTTTTTCGCCACTGGACCCAGTTAGCTAAGTCCTGTGAATTCCTCTTATTTTGAAATGTTTGCCAGGACCCTATACTTTTTATTTGTCGTATTTTCTGTTACAATGTATAAACAGTAAAATCGCAGAATAGGATTGCATTATCAAGTTGAGGTTTAAAAAGCAAACAATTATATTCCTGTTAAAACTTATTCTGTGGAACCTTGAGGATCTCGGTCCACCAACTGGGAAAAACTGATATAATTTATTCAGTGTCTTTGGGTAAAATGAAAAACATTAATCTCTTTACAACAGTGATGGTAAAATATATCTGTTCTAATGTAACATCCCAATGGATAAAACAAAACCACCACAATTGTGGGTCTCTGTGTGCTGTCCTGGAAATCACCAGAACTGATGCTCGGTAATTCCTGGTTACCAAATAGTGTAGATTTTCAAGACCACAATCTACACACTTTTATTGTGTACCAGTGTCATTTCTGGCCTGACCTCTCTTCCCAAATGTGTCTTTACAGGTCGTTGGCACCCTTCTATTTTTCCAGTGGATGGTCTTCAATTGTACCTCGCAAAGGCTTGGGAAGCAGAGCCCATAATGATGGCAGGTGTGCCTGGCAAGACCAGCTCACTTTGGGACCATTGTTGCCATCACATGTGTTGGATGTTTCTTCTCAGATGATCAGCTTTTAACCTGTTGGCAATCTTTTTCTCCTGTGTATCTCTACTTACTCCTGTTCTACCGTGGGGTGTAGATGTTTGCCAGAGAGATCGCCAGACTTCTCTATCAGCATTTTTCTTTTTGGCTTTTTTCATTTCAAGTGCTTTGTCAGTCGGGGACGGTCGGATGTTGTCTTCCCAACATACCCTCGGCCATCCTGGAGGTCTGATTCACTGGTTCTTAGCCTCCCTTGCCCGCAATGGTGGCCGATTCTCTCCTAGTCTGCATACATGTCCAAACCATCAAAACTCTAACTGATCCATTCGAGTTTGTAAGGCCTGGGTTTCAAGGTCATGACTTATTGTCTGATTGCGGACTTTGTCCCTTCTTGTCACTTGGACCACCATTCTCGGATACCTCATTTCTGCGTCCTGAGCTGGCTTTTATGAGCTGTTGTCATTGCCCACGACTCATACCCATGTGCCATGTGTATCTGTTTTCTTCCTAATTTTCTCCCTCCGTGAAATATGATCCATGACATCTTGTTTCCACTAATGTACCTGAATACTTGAATCATTCATGTCCCAGTACACATCTTTAAAGTGTTGAGGCCAACACCACATCTTCTACTCATCTGTAATTCACTATAGATTAATGATTAGTGAGAACTATCATCACATCACTCAAGGCAGACCCATAGATGCTCTGATCTCCCCCTCAGTAGCTCCACACGAGTCAAACGACTGACCACGCCCGTTCTGTGTTGATTAACCAAATCTATCAACATGGACAAGGATACTGAGTCCTATTTGTTGTCATGATCTTCTCTGCAGTATGCAGGTCACATGGCATTAATGACATCATTCCTGCTGGGCTAGTCATGGTAACTGCCTTGTCTACCATATAATCTGCTCATTCATTGCCTTGAACACCTGCATTGCTTAGCACAACGATAAAGCTGAGGTGAGTTATTTGTGATGCATTTATTGAGAGATAACATTCACCATAGTGAATGTCCTTATGGCTCTACCATCTTCCATCCTCCAAATGTGTCCTAGAAATTCATTACACTCGTAAGTGGCATTCAGGCATTTGTAGAAAAGGTAAGTAAAGTACATTAAAGGTCTCTTTATCACCATCATCATCATCAGGTGCCTTGCCGACTGGCTTGGGCGATCATGTATCAGTTCATGTGCCGGCACACCTCCATGTCAAGTAACAAGACTGTCAGAATCTTCTCTCGTTGTCTTCATCTATCCCTCCTTCCACAGATCTTTCCAGTGGTCACAACATATTCTGTTTTCCCTCTTCTCATAACATGGTTGAAAAATGATGACTGTCTCCTCCTTTATCCATACCTTGAATATATTATGTGCTACTACTGAAAATGTTGCAGCGGTGAAACGATTTTAGAAGCACTGATGCAGATGTTAACAAAGACACACAAACTCTTACTGTCTTTAAAATAATATTATATTTGATTTTCCACAGGATGCTAAAAGAAAAACAATGAAGGTGAGGTACAGTGCTGTGGACATATTACATACAACCTCCACTTTCAGTCCTTGTATATGATTACAGCATCTAGGATATTTGCAGCCGGTTCCAGAGAATGCCGTCTTGTTGGCTGGGAAAATGAGAAGGGCCTAGGTTGCCTCAGACAGCAATGCCTTCAAGATGACTTCAAGGAGCCTTAACTGGAGGCTGTTTTTTCTGGTAGCGCTGTTTAGTAGGAGCCAGAGTTCCAACAACTGTAGCGGGAGAAAGGTCTTAAATGGCCAAGAAGGGTTTATTTCCGATGGGCCTGAAATGTACAAAGCTAATTCACACTGTGAATGGCTTATTGATGGTGAGTATAGATTCTAGAAGTCCTTAGTGTTTTGTGTGTTTTTCTCTCTCTCCACCTCTCTCTTTTTCAACAAGCTCACTCTTACTCATTCTCTACTTATTCTCTCTGTCTTAGTACAGTGGAACTCCAATATTCGTCTATGCCATTACTCGTTTTTTTTTTTTTTTTATTCGTTCTGTATTTTTTTTTTCATTGAAGTGTTTGTTTGATATCCAAAAAGGTCATTATTCTTGTCAGACAAGAAAAACAAAGATATTGGGCCAGTTTTCCAGTGCTGAAATTAAAGATGGCTGTCCACTTGGGCAGATATGCAGTTTTCATTGAGAAATGGTACCTAAACATTGCTATAGTTGAGCAGTTCATTTGATGACTGTGTTTGGACACTTTCGAAACAATAAAAGAAAATAGAACAAAACGAACAACATTAGGTAGCTTCTTTATAAGAAATGAATGTTGGTCAACTGTCTGGAAATGCTGATAAATCATCAGGAGATCAATTACCAAAAGTGACATTACCAGATGTCATAATAGAAGCTGACTTCCCTTCCAAGAAATAGCCATCGTATTTTTATCCCAAAGATAAATTTCTTTTTAAAATTATATTTACATAGGCCTACCGTTTATAAATAATTATTTATGTCATCAGAATGAGTAATAAATCTCTGCCACAGTGATAAAGCAGCAATAAGTACAGCGGTGAATATGTAATTAAAATGTATTTGCAGTGATTTCAGAGATCTGTTTTCGAGTGACATTTTATTATAATTATTTATTTGCATTTAACTTTTTTTTTTAAAGTAAAGTCTTGAGAAGTAAAGATGATTGGCTTGGTGTTGACTATATCCCTCATCAAATGCTGATAAGTCATATGAAAGTATGACTTCAGCATCATGTGTCTAATGGCCACTGGCATTAGAAAAAAAAAAGGGGGCCTCTTCTTTATTTTTACTTTTATCAGTGTACTGGCATTAAATCTTTCAAGTTTTTTAAAAGGGCTTATATCTGTCGAGTGAGCTTAGCACAGAGACTTGCCTTCCAGGCTGGTATAAAAACACTGTCTCTATAGGGACTGTGTTAGCACAGAGACTTGCCTTCCAGGCTGGTATAAAAACACTGTCTCTATAGGGACTGTGTCCTTCCTGTCTCCAGCCTTAGAAACCAATGGATTGTACAATACCGGTTCACAAGTTGAGGAGTCAAGAATTGACATTATAACACTCAGGACATTCCCATATGCTCTCCGTCCCCATCTTCAGCAGCCAGTGTAGAGTTCCAGTACTAATGGTACTGATTGTAGTTTAGTTATGTGTCTTTCTTGCCTTTCCTCTGAGTGTAGTGAGCCGGCCAGCCCCTCTGGTCACACCCAGGTGCATCATTCTCTCCATGCCATAATAATCGAGTTTCTCTTCTGACTTCGTTACTTGTTCCCAAAGGGCCTTCGACCACATCTGCCTTGTAATGTATCAGTTCATCACCCAGTGGTGCAGATCAAGCCAATCTGTTTGCCTGTTCATTCCCCACCATGTTGGCATAACCTGCAAAAAAGATCCAAAGTAAAGTTCACAAGTTGATGGTCCAGCACCACATGTAGAGATTTGCAAGGAGATTAGAAATTTACTCAGTTGTTGGCAAACTTTTAACAAAGAATCTCAACCTGCAGTTTGTGGCGACCACACTAGCCATGTGGTTTTTTAAATTCTCATGTTCATGACATAAATTTCGTGTACAGCGTTATACAGGCAGTAAAGACAGTTTGTGTTTCATGTTTACCGATTTGCAGGTATTTCAAAAGGGTTTCATACTTTTGCGGCAGAAATGCTGCTTAGTAACTTAGATTTCAGCAGGAATTTCCCTGATAAAAATTGACCCCCCACCCCGCAACAAGAATAGTGCAAAGAGTGACTAATTAAGACTTTGCAGAAATTGAAAATGTTGTGCTAAAAAGCAAGCCTAACTGCAAACCACAATACATGATGACAACCACCCTTTTAAGAAAGAATGCAGAAAAAGAAGAGGAAGAAACATAAAGGTTGAGTGTAGCATTCTTGGCTTTCTTTGCTTGTTACAAGACCATATATTTTTTTCAGCTGGGAGCCCGAACAAGACCATCCACCTCACGTTTGAAAGCATGTCTACGGAATGTTCATTTGACTTCCTCTTCATTTATGATGGCAATTCCTACAACAGTCGACTGATTGCCACCCTTAGCGGCGACAGCCCGCCAAAAGAAGTGACAGCTTCTTCAGGTCATGTGAGTGTTGCTTGTCCAATCCCTTTGCATATTTTACAGCTTAGAAATGATGTTATAGAAAGGGGAGCTTATCAGGTCAACAAATGTCTAGGGAAAAGGGGGAGTAAAAAAAAAAAAGCTAGTTGCTGAGGAATCTGGATGAAATTTTCAAGTAAATTTTGGGTCGGAACTCGAATACCACCTTGGAAACTGAGCGCTTGGCACGTACCGATGATGCGACTGAGCTGACAGTGCAAGAGTTTCAGCACCTTCAGCAGCAGCAGGAGGAAGAAACTGCAGAAGAAATTTCTTCTAGGGGGAAGAAGTGTAAGCTGAGTGGATTAACACTGCTGACGAACAAGATCTTTTGACCATAGAGTCGAAAAGGTAAGAAGTTGTTGAGAGCTTGCACCCTTATAGAACCCTTGTTAAGAGTGTTAACTTATTCATGGATTAATAACATTATCAGACTTTCAGAAACATTAAAAATGGCTGCCAACACTAGAGCACTTTAGAACGCTGGCTGTCAGCAAAAACTAATGACCCCAAACTTTTTATCAGTGATAAACGAATGATATGAAACGCTAGAAATGATTCCTGATATTATGGAAGATGACTCACCTTCCCAACAATAATCTCCCTGTGTCATAAGCCACTACACACTTAGGGGGAGGTACTGAGGAGGGGATCTGAGCACTTATGGACTGAATGGTTCCATGTGTGATGATGATAATCTGTCAACTAACTAACTGACAGTAGTCTCCCTAAATTTAAGATTTTTAGTTAGTTAGACCCTGGAACAGATTAGTTTAGTTTCCATTATTTTCAGTAAGAAAAATTGCCTTGGAACTCGAATGATTTGGAATGCCCTTTGGGAACGAAATTCTGAAGTATTTCTGTACCTAGTTAATATGCAGGAGATCCCTGGGAATCATTGCTGGAGCTATAGAGTTTGTGCTCTGTGTGGCGCTCTCGGCAGGCGGCTAGCTCTTCTAGCAGAGAGACTGAACCATATGGGATAAAACCCAGAGCAATGAAGTCGATCCTTTTGACTTCCACCTGTAACTTTTAGACCAGTTTTGTGGCTTGGAGACCAGTTAACATTGACGTATAAGGGTTCAGTTTCCTATTAAGCAGTTTAGAAATAAAAAGGCTGCTGTCGTTACTCTGGGACAGCGCTGTGAGCCACACAGAGGAAGAGATTGAAGTCTTCACTTGGTAAAATCATTTTCACACTGTTGAATGTAAATTTGTGTTTTTTGTTTGATGCGTATCTCTCTGTTTACCTGCTTTTAATTTTTATTCACGGTGCCGCCTCCTCAGATGCTGCTGTACTTATTTAGCGACCGTAACTATCTGAAAATGGGATTTGAGGCACGATACAAAATCTTTGACTGTCCTGGGAATTGTAACGAGCGGGGAGATTGCAAAAACCACATCTGTCACTGCAAAAATGGCTTCAGTGGGGATGCTTGTGAGGTAAGTAGGCTAGAGATTGTGTGTTCTGTTTAGTATTGGTTGGAAAGATGTGGTGGAAACTGCAGAGATGGGGTCATATGGAAGAGTGACTCCCGGTGTTGGTTTTTTGGGGCTCCATTTCTGGGGGTAGAATAAAAGACGCACTGTCCAACCCCTTCCCCCCTTCCAACCCCACTCCAATGAGCATCATAAACCGTAACTATTTAGGTCAAAACTGAAGTGCTTCTGCCTGAGAGGCAAGGAACCAGCAGTCTGCTTACAAGTAAGTCAGATCTGTAAAATGGATATGTACCAAAAACTCTGGATTAAGACCAAAGTCTAGAAGTTGACGTACAACCAGGGTTGTCCGTTGGAGTTTACAGCCGGTGAACGTGAAGAAGAAGAAGAGAAGAATGAAAAGACCATTTACATGTTGGAAGTTCTGAACTGTATAGGTAAGACACAACTCAACGTACATTTGTTAGTTATTCTCAAGACGGTGCACATTTCTCATGAATCTTCTTTTATATCAGACAGTCGTTACTCTTATCTCATGAATCTGACTTTTTGTGCCCTGTGTTAATCCTTGTGCCCTTTCCCCAAAGTAAGGGATAGGACCCTTTACCATATCTTCATGTGTTTTATTCCAGTATTACCCCACCTTTGTCGGCATCTCTGGCTTAGGCGTTATGAAGGTGCTTTGTAATTCCGGGGTGCCGGGTTCGATCCCAGCTGCGGACCTTGCACCTTCGTTGGTTTCGACAGTGGTAGGGAGAAGCCAACCGTCCAGAAAGCAATGGCAAACTACGGGGCATAAACGTGCCTAGAAAAACAACAGCCAAAAAATGCTGGGGTTGGTTCTGCACCATCCTGTAATGGATACGCAACTAGCTAGGCCTATATTTTATAGACCAATCAGCACATGGTGGATTATATGGTCAGCATTATACCAGCTGCCTTTACTTCCTATTACTTTTCCTGGTAGCCATTTAAGGTTGGATTGACTTGAGAGCCAATATCATTTGTAGAAAAAAAGTCTGCATTCGGATTTGAACCCACGACCTTTGGATCTGCAGGGAAGTATCTAGCTGCTACACCACAGCAGCTAACTTGGGCCCTATAATGTTATTATTTGATCTGTACTGGTCTAGGACTTTATCTGATTGGGAACTTTTGAGGAGATCAGAAGCTGAAGTAATTATTGGCTGGTGCCAGAAGAGTTACCTTATCAGTAGAACTGATACCCTGCATTAGAAGAAGACAATCCACATTTCTTTAGTTATGTCATCAGAAGGGGACAGAATTCTGGAGGGACTGAGGGAAACCAAAAAGGAAAGCTGCTAGAAATTTTGGCATTGAGGGCATTTGAATCAGAAATGATTGACCGTTTATAAGATAAGTGTTCTTCAACCCATGGGCCGTGGTCCACTGATGGGCCACTGTAAAGTCCAGGTGGACCACCAAAAATGTGTACCTAATCATGTAACGGGGTGAGGTGGGTAGTTTTTATGTTTTAGGATTGCAGTCTGTAGGAGAGAGTCTCTCAGAAGCAACACTCCAGCCACATGTTTATGATTTTTCTGACTTTTAAGCAACAGCATCTATTGCATCAGCTGAAAATAGTATTTTTGTGATATCGGATTCAACAAATAAACTGCCAGCTGCATTTGTTTTTTTTTTGTTGGTTTGTTTCTGTGTTTGGTTAGCTGTCAGGTGGGCCATGAAACAGTTTTTCCCCTTTTTAGTGGGCCATGAGTATAAAAAGGTTTGAGAAACACTGCACTAGTCAGACGAATGGGGGCAGACGAATGGGGGCAGATTTGATTACTGCCACACCGCGTGGACTGAGATAAAAAAGAGGCTAAAAATGCATGATTAATTTGTCCTCTTTTTATGGTTAAACATAACTAATTGTTAACATTTTCTCCTGCAGGTGAAAAATTGTCCGTCGGAATGTAACACGCACGGAGAGTGTAAGTTTCACAGCTACAAACTGCAGTCGTGTCACTGTAATCCTGGCTATGTTGGAAGAGCTTGTGACTTGCAGGTCAGCGGGACTGAAGGTCTCGGACAGTGGTACACAGTTCAGACGGACAAGAAAAGGTTTCCACCCCGCACGTCCCACACTGCAGTGTTTGCTGATGACTGTATTTGGGTGTTTGGAGGGTTCGATCTCAATGTTGTGCTGGATGACCTGCTGCGATTCTGCCTGTCAGAGAATCTGTGGGAAAGTCTAGCCAAGCCTGACCATATAGCCACTGCAAACAAAACCGTTTCCTGGCCTGCAGGAAGAAGTGGCCATGCCGTGGATAGCTACGGCGACGGTTTTTACATCTTTGGTGGAATCCTGGGCGACGGCCTACATTCCAATGAACTGTGGTTTTTTAACATTACTTCTCTTTCCTGGACACAGTGCGCCACAGAGAGTGTGATCATGCCAGAAAGGCTTACAGGTCACACGTTGACAGCTGCTGATGACTATCTGTATGTCATAGGGGGGAAGAATGAAGACAGGATATTCCTGAATGTGATGTATAGAATTTCAGCTAGCCATCCTGACCAGTGGGAACGGGTGTTAGCCAAAGGAGGCAACTACCCACTGAAAAGGTTGGTAGGACACACTTCTGTGTACTACAGACATTCCCGGTCGCTGATTGTCTTCGGAGGGTACACTCAGGGCAGTGCCCTCTTCAGTGACCGCAGCAAGGATATTCTATCTTTCAACATAGACGACCTCTACTGGGCTTATTTTCACAGTGAGGATTGGAATAAGGATTCGACCCCTCGGCATCGAGCATTCCATTCTGTGGTAGTTATGGGGAACTACCTAGTGATCTATGGCGGAAACACTCATGACCATTCTGGGCTTGAGATCTGCTACAGTCACGAGATATTCTTCTATCATTTAGGCTGTCATGTCTGGCTCAACCACACGTATTTCACTGGTGAGTTTTCTTGTTGCCTTTCTCTGTTATGTTTTCTTGACCTGTACTTTCCTTCATCTGTCTGTCTGTCTGTCTACTACTTAGGCGGTCATGTCTGGCTCAACCACACGTATTTCACTGGTGAGTTTTCTTGTTGTCTTTCTCTGTTATGTTTTCTTGACCTGTACTTCTCTTCATCTGTCTGTCTGTCTGTCTACTACTTAGGCGGTCATGTCTGGCTCAACCACACATATTTCACTGGTGAGTTCTCTTGTTGTCTTTCTGTTATGTTTTCTTGACCTGTACTTCTCTTCATCTGTCTGTCTGTCTGTCTGTCTACTACTTAGGCGGTCATGTCTGGCTCAACCACGCGTATTTCACTGGTGAGTTTTCTTGTTGTCGTTCTCTGTTTTCTTGACCTGTACTTTTCTTCATCTGTCTGTCTGTTTGTCTGTCTGTCTACTACTTAGGCGGTCATGTCTGGCTCAACCACACATATTTCACTGGTGAGTTTTCTTGTTGTCTTTCTCTGTTATGTTTTCTTGCCCTATACATCTGTTTGTCTGTCTGTCTGTCTACTACTTAGGCGGTCATGTCTGGCTCAACCACACATATTTCACTGGTGAGTTTTCTTGTTGTCTTTCTGTTATGTTTTCTTGACCTGTACTTTTCTTCATCTGTCTGTCTGTCTGTCTACTACTTAGGCGGTCATGTCTGGCTCAACCACACATATTTCACTGGTGAGTTTTCTTGTTGTCTTTCTCTGTTATGTTTTCTTGACCTGTATTTTTCTTCATCTGTCTGTCTGTCTGTCTACTACTTAGGCTGTCATGTCTGGCTAAACCACATTTGTTTCACTGGTGAGGTTTTTTGTGTTCTTGTCTTTCTTCGTTATGTTTTCTTTCCCTGTGTGGGTTCTGATCCCATTTTGGGGGAAGAAAGAATATACCATTCCCCCCAACTAGCACGTTGTGAAAGACATCTAACTAGGGTTGTTTACTTTGATGTTAGAGTGCATCTGCCTGACTGCAAATGGATGTGCATGCAAAACTCAAGTTCTTTAACACAACTTTAGTCCAACAGTGGTCAAATAATCACTTTCCACCAAAGTTTACTGACAGTGAATGCTGAGAAGAAGTTATGTTTTTTACCTGTACTTTTGGTCTGTCTGTCTGTCTGTCTGTCTGTCTGTCTGTCTGTCTGTCTGTCTGTCTGTCTGTCTGTCTGTCTGTCTGTCTGTCTGTCTGTCTGTCTGTCTGTCTGTCTGTCTGTCTGTCTGTCTGTCTGTCTGTCTGTCTGTCTTACACCTGGGCTGTCATATCTGACTGAACCACACATATTTTAGTTGTGAGTTTTCTTGTTGTCTCTCTTTGTTATGTTTTGTTGAGCTGTACACTCCTGTTATTCTGTTCTATATTTCTGTCTGTCTTACGCCTGGTCTGTCATATCTGACTGAACCACACATATTTTAGCGGTGAGTTTTTTTTAAAAATTGTATTTTTTTTTTAAACCTGTAATCTTGTGTGTGTATGTGTCTGTCTCTTGAGCTGTCATGTCTGGCTAAACTACACACATTTTACTGGCAAATTGTTTTTATCTTTTGTCCCTCCCCACAACACTTATTGGTAAAAGTGAAAGTTTCTCTTTTTTGTTGAATTTATGTATGTATTTCTTTATTAGTTGATTGTGATTTCTCTGGTTAATCCTCTGTGATGCAGGCAATTCATCGACTGGTGGAATGCCTTCTAAAGGCAGGTTTGGTCACACAGCGGTGGCTGCAAATGGCAACATCATGTTCATCATTGGAGGTTATTCAGGCCAAGTTCTAGGTGATCTCTTGGCTTATAAATTCCCGTCTGCCATTGCTGGTTTTGAGGTAATGTTTGAACTGGTGAGCCAGTGAAGGAATATGAGATTTTTGTGTGTGGCTTTATAATGTCTGAGGGAACTTATGAATATTCTATATCTATATCCTCTTCCTGTCGCTGTTGACATATAAGGCATTCACAAGTCTGCTGCTTTTCTGCCATAGTATCCCATGTCAATTTACATTCCTTTATTTCCCATTCTGTTGTCCTTCTCCAGGTTTCCTTGTGTCGTCCACATCTCCTTTTCCCATCTGCTGTCCACCGGAGTGTCACAAGGCATTCTGCAAACATGTCCAAACCATCTCGTCGTCTTACTTTGATAACATTTGCCAGTGATGCACATTTCCTTGTGAATATTAAATTGGATTAATTTTTCTTCTTCCTCTTCCCTCCTTCTCCTCTGTTTCCTTCTACTGCTCTTACTATTCCTTGACTGCAGTCATTTGAGAACATAACTGCTTTGTGCCTATTTACAGCATGGCTGCGGTGTTCATGCCTTTTGGCCGAGCCATCCGACTTCTTCAGTCATGTGTAACCCAGATGAACTTTCCCATGGATGAATTGAAAAAAGGGGAAGTCATTAGCTGAATGTCTGGACAACGACTAATACCAGCAGTTGACAAAGAAAATAGCGCTATATTAACACATCCTGAGAGAATCGAGCAGAGAATCGCCAAGCAGAAACTGAAATGGGAAAACAATTAGACCGAAGAAACAAGGACGTCCAAGATAAAAAGTAAAGGTAAAGTCGGGAGATGTGAACCAGCATCATTGCACACGGTTATAAACCTAAGTGCTATGCTACCAGTACAGACAGCTGATAAGAAACTCTCCGCCTGTGTCGCCGTCCGCAAGTAACTCCGTACCTACAGCGATGTTCTTCCATTTACCCCAGAGTGTCAACTCTGGTACCCATTTCCTAGAGGCTGAGTGAACCCTGGAAACCACCCAGTTTCGAACACCGGCCGTGGGCTGCAGCGAGTCGCAGCTGGATTTAAAAGCGAGTCTCCTGTCAACTGCACTAGCACGGCGCGAATGTTGAAGAGAGAAGCCAAAGGTGCTAGAGCGAATTCCATTCATGCTGCCAGAAGGATTGCTCAGGATAAAACAGAATGGAGGAATAGACTTGTGCGTGCGTGTGTGGGTGCGTGCGCGCGCGCATGCCTCTTTCTCCCTCACTCTCACACTCTATACATTCTCTCTCTCTCCCACACACACATTCTTTCTCCCCCCCCCCCCCCTCTCTGTTTCTCTTTCTCTCTCTGGTTATGTATTCAGTCCTAGATATTGCACTTCAACTGTATAAAAACACATTTATTGGGGTATCTGATAACTTTCCATACTGTGGCAAATTCATTTCTCTAATTTTCCTCCGAAGTCGGAGTACATCTGCCGGAGAGGCGGGGAACGAGTACTGCAAACAAATAAGCCAGTAAAACGGATGTACACGCAAAACTCAGGTCAAGGTAAAAGCCAAAAGTCCATTTTGGACGAACAACCGTGACTTACCGCCGGAATTCACAGCCGGTGAACAAGAAGAAGAAGAAGAATTTCTCTCATTGTCTTTGTCTCCTTCTCTTTCCAGTTGTCACATTTTCCAGGTTTTCTATTCTCTAATTTTCCCTACTGTTTATTTTCCCTACTGTTTATTTTCCCTACTGTTTATTTTCCCTACTGTTTATCACATACTTTTATATAGGTGTGGCTGTATGAGTCTGTGAGTGTGTGTGTGTGCCCGCACGTGCACGCATGTGTGCATCTTTCTCCCTCTTACCATCACTCACTCTGTCACACACTCTCTCATCTCACTCTCTCTCTCTCTCACACACACTCTCACACTCACTGTCTGTCATACACTCTTTCTTATCTCTCTCATCTCTCTCACTCTCTCTCATACATTGTCACATTTTCTTTATGTCTCACACACTCTTTCTCCCTCCCTCTCTCTCTCTCTCTCTCTCTCTCTCATCCTTTTATTTATATGATCCTAGATATCACCATTCATCCACACCAACAACGAAAAAAGTTTTTTTTTGGGTTACCTGACAGTTACGAAGTAGCTTGCTGTCGCATGTCAGTGTGTTCTGATGCATTATTTTCTTTGTTTCTCCCAGTGCTCTTCCAAGGACAACTGCCCGGCCGTACCTGTAGCTGGATTTAGTGCTGACCATTGTGAGGAATATTCAAACAGCCACTCCCGAGTCTGCCAGGAGGATCCCGAGTGCATTTTCTGCAACCAGGGAAGAGTAGACAAAGGCAACCAAAGTTGTATTCATCGGACACGTTCTGAGGTAGCTTTTGTATTGTCGTCTTCTTTATCTTTTTATGTGTGTGTGTCTCTCTCTTTTCATTCTTATAGTCCTGTTGTGTGTTGTTGACAGTCATGTCTGTCCACAACCTTCTGTCTCGTGTACTTTCAGTCATTCCATCTTCCATGCCATGGTGCCAGAGACTCTTATCAACATATTCATTAAACTTTTTTTTTAAAAATCTGCCAATGATGTTAACATAATATTTTTTTTTTAAAGACGCCTTCATTGCACTAAAATAAAAATGTCCATGATGTTCTTATACTAATTTCTTTAACTCTTTGAGTCCCAAGGAACACATTATGCGTTCATAGGTTCCTACCTAGAAGCCCAATGAACGCATGATGTGCCAATTTTATAACTCTCTTGACTACCCCCTGGGATTGTGATGCTAACCCCCCTGGGACTCAAAGAGTTAAGGATGTCTTCTTTAGACTTTTTGTCTGCCCACAGTGTTCTAATATTAATGTTTTTTAAGGCGCCTTCATTACACTTTTTACAAAATATGTCGATGGTGTTCTCATACTAATGTCTTTAACGACATTTTCATTACACTATTTTTATATGGTTTATCCATGGTGTTCTCATACTAATTTCTTTCAGGTCGTCTTCATTACACTAAAAAAAAAAAATCTGCCCACGATGTTCTTATATTGTTTTAAGACACCATCATCACACTTTTAAAACATCTATCCATGGTGTTCTCATACTAATTTCTTTAAGGACGTCTTCATTACACTTAGAAAAAAAAAAACTGCCCACGATGTTCTTATATTGTTTTAAGACACCATCATCACACTTTTAAAACATCTGTCCATGGTGTTCTCATACTAATTTCTTTAAAGACGTCTTCATTACACTTGTTTTTCTGCCCACAATACTCTCGTATTAAAATGTTTTAAAGACACCTTCATTACATTTTCTTAAAAATCTGTCCATGGTGTTCTCCTACTAATTTCTTTAAAGAAATCTTCATTATATATATATTTTTAAATCTGCCCATGATGTTCTCATACTAATCTCTTTAAGAACTTCTTCATTGTACTTTTTTGTCTGCCCGTGGTTTCCATACAAATTTTTTTGAAGAATCTTCATTCTACTTAAAAAAAAAAAAATAATCTGTCAGGGTTATCTCATCATTCATCTGTAAAACCACATCTTTGCAGCTTCCAGACAATTTTTTTTCCACTAACAAGCTGACTTTCCAAGATTTGTGTCTGTACATCAGGATGGAGTTATTTATAGCTGTTTACCGCTCGCCGCAGAAACACAGGTTCATGACCCTGTTGGAATTCCAGAAAAAAATCTTTGACAACAAAACCACAATTTTTACACAGATCACTAATAAATTCATTAAAAGAATTGTTAATTTTCTACTTTTCCTTCTTTGAAGATCTATTAAGGAAGTAATCAGTAAACACCAACAGGGTAAAGCATTAAATGGAATGCATTCCCTGGGGCCTTGGAAACATGTATCAGGTGACACATGCTGTAACCCCATGACCTCTATCAATGAGGCGTATATGGGCATTTTTGTTTTGGAGGTCAGCCTGGCTTTTATAAAACTATTTGATTTTTTAGTTAATGTATTCATTTCTTGACCTCCTCAATGTCTTTGATGGCACAAAAGCAGCTGATAGCACTAAATGTGTGTCTCCTAAGCAGGTACTGGAGATAAGTCAGGAAAGTGACATTAATGGGGAATTGGACTCAACCAAAAGTATTGGTTGTGCAGTTTTTCAAAGCAAAAGGGTTAAGAACTCTCTAGCCTCAGCTCAAATCCATTGTGTATTATGGTTAATACAAATCCATTCTTCTTCTTGTAGTCGATGACGTGGCGTGTTGGTAGTTATATCTATCCACAACCTTCTGTCTCTTGTCCATTCTGTCAGTTCTCTGAATGATCTTTCAGGCAATGATGTCAGATTATCGAACATCTTGTCTCTCTCTCTCTATCTTCCTCTTTCCCCCTCCATCCTTTCCACTGTCACAAGGTACTCCAGTTTTCTCCTCTTCTTGACATGACCAAAGAATGTAGATTGTCTCCTTCTGATGTGAGCAATCAGTTCTCCTCCTGAGTCAGTTTCTTTCAAGACATCTTCCTTACTCTTTTTACCTGTCCAGGGTTTTCTCATCATTCGTCTATGTAACCACATCTCTGCCTCTTCCAAATAATTTTTCTTTCACTAATCGTTAAACTATCCCTGATTCACTTTCCATGTATCAGAAATAGGATTTATATAGCTCTTGAGAATTCTCATTTTCGTCTCAGTTGTCAAAGAAAGATTGCATAGAATATTCTTCATTTTATAACATGCTGCACCGATCCATTACATAGTTGCAATTGGCGTCAGGTAGGGCATCACAAAGAGCTATGTTAAACAGATACAGCGGTAACAGAACCAGAGGTTGATCATGCAGAATGTTGACCGCAGAAATATCAGAGACACAGAAAAGTAATTTTTACAAAGCGAACAGAAGGGCCCGTTCCACAGATCTCTTCCTGCCCTGACGCTGCGAGGCATTCCAGGAGTAGATAAATGAAGAAGAAGAAGAAGTCACAGTTTATATAAGTAAAATTAAAACTTTATAAGATTTTTTTGCCTTTCATGTTTACTTATGCCCTCCATGAAAACTGTATACCTGCAGTTGTGTGTCAGCGGAGACTTTCATGATTCTGCTGACCGTTGCCCAGGGATCTGCCCAGTCCTGCACACTTGCGGAGCCTGTGTCAGTCACGGCAAGGGTGTTGAGCAGGCTGCTGAACTACGCCCTCGACGCACCTACATCCAAGAATGCAGCTGGTGTGTCAAGGAAGCCAAGTGCCAGACTAATTCTGGTAGAAATCTCTCTTTTTTCATTGTTGTTGTTTTTAGTTTGGTTTGTGGTGGTGGGAGCTGCTGTGGTGTACCTCTAGACGCGTGCCTGCCATCCTGAAGGCCGTGGGTTTGAATCCACATCTAGCCAGATTTATTTCTTCAGAAATTGACCTCAGGTCAACCCAGCCTAACATGAGTACTATGTAGAGTCCTGGGAAGTAAAGGTGGCCAACATGATGTTGACCCAGTACTCTTAAAGGCAAGGACACAAATCTTTTACCTTTACAACAGTGGCTAGAAGTTTAAGACCACATAGTAAGTAATTGAAATTTCCACACAATAATGACATCAGCTGTGATTTTAGGGTGTGATGATTGCAGTGATTACTTGTTATGCTTTTTTAGGACAGAATGACGATTGCAGTGATTACTTGTAATGCTTTCTTTTTAGGACAGAGTGATGATTGCAGTGATTACTTGTAATGCTTTTTTTTAGGACAGAGTGATGATTGCAGCGATTACTTGTAATGCTTTTTTTTAAGGACAGAGTGAAGATTGCAGTGATTACTTGTAATGATTCTTTTTTAGGACAGAGTGATGATTGCAGTGATTACTTGTAATGATTTTTTTAGGACAGAGTGACGATTGCAGTGATTACTTGTAATGCTGTTTTTTAAGACAGAGTGACGATTGCAGTGATTACTTTTAATGCTTTTTTTTTTTTGACAGAGTGACGATTGCAGTGATTACTTGTAATGCTTTTTTAGGACAGAATGACGATTGCAGTGATTACTTGTAATTCTTTTTTTTAGGACAGAGTGACGATTGCAGTGATTACTTGTAATGCTTTTTTAGGACAGAATGACGATTGCAGTGATTACTTATAATTCTTTTTTTTTTAGGACAGAGTGACAATTGCAGTGATTACTTGTAATGCTTTTTTTTAGGACAGAATGACGATTGCAGTGATTACTTGTAATTCTTTTTTTTAGGACAAAGTGACGATTGCAGTGATTACTTGTAATGCTTTTTTTTAGGACAGAATGACGATTGCAGTGATTACTTGCAATGCTTTTTTTTAGGACAGAGTGATGATTGCAGTGATTACCTGTAATGCTTTTTTTTTTAAGGACAGTGTGACGATTGCAGTGATTAATTTTAATGCTGTTTTAGGACAGAGTGACGATTGCAGTGATTAATTTTAATTTTAGGACAGAATGACGATTGCAGTGATTAATTTTAATGATGTTTTAGGACAGAATGACGATTGCAGTGATAACTTGTAATGCTTTTTTTTAGGACAGAGTGACGATTGCAGTGATTACTTGTAATGCTTTTTTTAAGGACAGAGTGACGATTGCAGTGATTACTTGTAATGCTTTTTTTAGGACAGAGTGATGATTGCAGTGATTACCTGTAATGCTTTTTTTTTTTTAGGACAGTGTGACGATTGCAGTGATTAATTTTAATGCTGTTTTAGGACAGAGTGACGATTGCAGTGATTAATTTTAATTTTAGGACAGAATGACGATTGCAGTGATTAATTTTAATGATGTTTTAGGACAGAATGACGATTGCAGTGATTACTTGTAATGCTTTTTTTAGGACAGAGTGACGATTGAAGTGACTAATTTTAATGCTGTTTTAGGACAGAGTGACGATTGAAGTGATTAATTTTTATGCTGTTTTAGGACAGAGTGACAATTGCAGTGATTAATTTTAATGCTATTTTAGGACAGAGTGACGATTGCAGTGATTAATTTTAATGCTGTTTTAGGACAGAGTGACGATTGCAGTGATTACTTGTAATGCTTTTTTTAGGACAGAGTGACGATTGAAGTGATTAATTTTAATGCTGTTTTAGGACAGAGTGACGATTGAAGTGATTATTTCTAATGCTGTTTTAGGACAGAGTGACAATTGCAGTGATTAATTTTAATGCTATTTTAGGACAGAGTGACGATTGCAGTAATTAATTTTAATGCTGTTTTAGGACAGAGTGACGATTGCAGTGATTACTTTTAATGCTATTTTAGGACAGAGTGACGATTGCAGTGATTACTTTTAATGCTATTTTAGGACAGAGTGACGATTGCAGTAATTAATTTTAATGCTGTTTTAGGACAGAGTGACGATTGCAGTGATTACTTTTAATGCTATTTTAGGACAGAGTGACGATTGAAGTGATTAATTTTAATGCTGTTTTAGGACAGAATGACGATTGCAGTGATTACTTTTAATGCTATTTTAGTGCAGAGTGACGATTGCAGTAATTACTTTTAATGTTATTTTACGACAGAGTGACAATTGCAGCGATTACTTTTTATGCTATTTTAGGGCAGAGTGACGATTGCAGTGATTACTTTAATGCTATTTTAGAACAGAACGAGGATTGAAGCAATTAATTTTAATGCTAATTTCGGACAGAGTGACGATTGTAGTAATTACTTTTTATGCTATTTTAGGGCAGAGTGACGATTGCAGTGATTACTTTTATTGCTGTTTTAAATATGGCCTAATGGCTGAACGGGCTTTCCGGGACCTCTCCACGGGTGATCCTCATTCGCATGGTGGCACTGTGTGTCCTTGGGAGTTTATCGTTTGTGTGATGTCCTGGTGGGGTACAACTAAAATATATACATACATGTTTTTGGATTACCACTAAATCATTTTATGCATGTCCCTGTGTGGGTTCCGGAGCCCCATTTTGTGGTGGGGAAGAAAAGAATAGACTCACTGCCTGCCTAACAAGCATGTTGTAAAAGTCAACAAATTTGGGGGGAGTTTCTTTCGAAGTCAGAATGCATCTTTTCGCTAGGTGAGGAACCAGCAGTCTGTACACAGATTAGCCAGATCTGTAAAATGGATGTGCACACAACTCAGTCTCTGGAACAAGATGAAATGTGCGTTCAGGTGCTGAGAGGCGTAGGTCCCTATTGAAATGTGTAACCAGGTACAATCATCTGCCGCTTAACATCAAGTACAATGCATCAGCCTAGTGTGGCAGAACAGTATGAGATTAACTCCCAACGACGAAACAGGGCGTCTATAATGTAAAAAATGAACTTCAATGCTTCCAAACGGCAGTTAAATGCTGAAGTCCATGAATATATACCGGTGGTGTATTATCGAACACACTTGATCAAAATGAGAAAATGTGCAAATATTAGGACTTGGTGAAGACTCATCCAAACACGCCAACTCAAGCTATCGCACGCACATTCTTGAGAGAAATCCAAATGACATCTTCAATCGACAGATGAACAGTCCGACCTTGAGAGTCCGGACGGTCACATCGATCTCCTCTTCTGCAGCCTGAACAGGGCAATGTCCCTCTTTAGTGATTCAGCCTGGAGATCACTTCCTTTAAAATATACTGGCTTCCTGCCGATCGCAATAATCAGTGTACCAGCATTCGGCTGAGGTTTCTAGTGGAGTCCCGGGGTAAAGCGCCTGTCTCCTTCAGACTTTATACTCCTAATGCTTAGAATACAATTCCTTAACAACATTACATATTGTTTTGACGTCCTATTTGCTCAGTCAGTATCGGTGTGTTTTAGTTGCTATCCGCACATGACACAAGACCAAATTCCAGAAGTCAGCAAACAACCAGAATTTTCTGCCAAAGTTCACAGTCGTTGAATGCTAAGAACAAGATGATTTTATTTAGACAGGATGCACCTTCTGTAATTTATTTTTAAATTTTGATGTCTTCCATGAACTAATATGAAAGAGGTGAAGTCTCGAAGACAACTAAGCATAAACAGAAAGAGACAGTCATCATTTTTTTTTTTTGGTTATGAAGAAGGTCATGATTCGATTGCAAAGACTGCACTTCAAGGAATGTTGGGGTGGGGGGGGGGGGGGTGTAGTCAAAGAAGAGGGCAAAGAAGAATCTAGAATGACAGCATCAAGAAATGGACAGGACTAATTCATCATACACTTATTCATCAAGCAGAAGACAGAGAAAGATTGCGGGTTTTATGTGCTAGCGCTTCCATCAATACCCCTCCGCAACGGTTATGTTATGTTATGAGAAGGAAACTGGAACATGTTGTAATGACTGAAAGATCTGAAGAAGAAAGAAAAACAGCATGCAAAGATTGTTGACAGCTTTTTTTTTTTCATGACGTGGAGGGTTGTCGACGCAAGAACTGACACGCCTAGTCTGCTGAAAGCAGATTGTGGAGAGGCATGATAGCCCTCACCTGTGGATAAGCACATGATGATAATAAAAATGATGATGATGTTTCTTCATGTTTTAGTATAATCAGACCATGACATTTTTGTTTGACTCTTCTATGATAGTTAATGAGTTTTAATCATTTATCTTGCTTATGAGACAAATCTGAGTTTGATTCTACCCACAGCCCCACAGGGCACCTGCCTGTCACCTGTTCAGACGGAATCTGGCTTACAGGGTTGGTGGGGTGGGTTGAGTGCCAACCTGACCACCCTGCTGCAGTGTCAGCTCGAGGATTTACCAGCCGGGCTGCACTTGATTAAGTACCGGGACCCTCAAAACAGTAGTTTTCCTGATGAGGTTGGTTAAGGTTGTCATTACTATATTGTTTAAGATTTCTCTTTGTGGGTTTCCAGGTGAATAACAAATGAGATGGTTTGGCCACCTGTCGAGAATGCCCTGGTACCACCTGCCACAAAGAGCCACGCTGAAGAAATAAATGATCACAGAGCAAGGGGAAGACCACGTAGGAGAAAGAGGGACATCATCAGGAGCAATCTAACGGAAATGAACACCAACTTGTACAATCCATTGGAAAAAAGCATACAAATGTGTGTTGGCAGTTATCTTCATATTCATCCCAGGGCATGCAGGCCTTGTTGGTAATGAAAGAGCTGATAGACTGGCAGGTGCTTCATTAATTGAAGATGGCCGGCCCATGCATCACGTAGACATTGTCATTGCCCTTAGAGAGATATGACATTCTGAGGATTTTGAAAGCAATGTGTCCACATCACTGCTAAGAATACCAGAACTGGGAGTAAAGATCGGCACAGCCAAGCATGAGAAGCACACCGGACGCACACAAAGTCTTGTTAACCAACATAGGACTGGAACTGTTAACCGCGCGACACTGATGAATATGTTGAGAGAGGAATATGAGTGCCTATGAATGTCTCCCGAGTGCTGTGAAGATAATCTAACTCATACAAATGATCCTTACATCTCCCCCAACGCCTCAGTGAGGTAAATGCTGGAAGAGAAGAAGAGTTTCAGGGTCGCATTTTTGGAAATAAAAAAAATGAATTGGCCGCTTGCCCTTTAACAAACATGTCATAAAATGCTACTGGTTAAGTGTTTTGAATTGGATGTGTTGGACTGAATGGGGCAAATATCAGAGCCAGGTAGAAGATCTGTTTAGTTTGGGGCAGAGGCCATTAGATCAATACCTAATTTTTTAAGGTTCTTCATCAATCATCAGTTCTCGTTATGCCTAGTGGCTCATGAGGCATCAGAGAGGACTTTCTATGCTTTCCTGTCCTGTGCAATCTTCAGTGCAGTTTTCCATGTCAAAGATGCCACACTCAGGTCACTCTCCATCGTTCATCTCCATGTTGTTTTTGGGCGCCCCTTCTTTCTCTTTCCCTCTGGTGTCCATGTGAGAGCTGCTTTGGCAGGTATATCAGGATTCATTCTCATGACGTGGCCAAGTCCATCTTCCATCTTCTCTTGGTTTTCATACTGTCCTATAGTTTCTTGGTTTGTGACTTGAAGTAGTTTAGTGTTTGAGATTTCAAGGTTCATACTCACAGACTAAATCCTCTGTCTGCTTTTGTTGGCTTACCCAGTTTAAAGGGCACAAAGAATAGACCCACCGTCTTCTAAACAAACATCTGAAATTGGATGTGTTGGGCCGAATGGTGTGGATATCACAGCCACGCTGTAAAACCTCAACACAGTGTACCACTAGTACCTGGTTCTTTGACGTTTATTCTCACATACTGAATCCCAGGTCTCCCTTTGTTGGTTCACCCAGTTTGAAGGGCAGAAAGAATAGACCCACTGTCTTCTTAACAAGCATCTGAAATTGGATGTGTTGGACCGAATGGTGTGGATATCACAGCCGTGCTGTAAAATCACAGCGCAGTGTACCACTAGACCACTAGTACCAGGTTCTTTGAGGTTCATTCTCACAGACTGAATCCCTAGTCTCCCTTTGTTGGTACACCCAGTTTGAAGGGCAGAAAGAATACACCCACTATCTCCTTAAATCTGAAATTGGATGTGTTGGGCCAAATGTTGCGGATATCACAGCCATGCTGTAAAACCACAACGCATTGTACCACCACATACCTGGTTCTTTGAGGTTCAGACTGAATCCACAGTGGGGATTATATCATTGGAACCAGTATGTTGCTCGCGTGCGGATCGTAAGGTCGTGTGTTCGCTCCCTAGCGGAGCCAGACTTTTAAAAAAAAGACCTGCCTCCCAGGTCAACCCAGCCTTGAGTGCGTACCAGGTGCAGTCCTGGGAAGTAAAGGTGGCCGGCGTGTTGCTGTGTTACCTATCTTGTGCCTTTGGCCTATACAATTTAGGTCTAGCCCTATGTACCCAATACTCCTGAACGGCGTGGAAAAGGGTCCTTTACTTTAGTATGTTGCTCCACACATGTTAAGTTCTACAATGGGTCTTGTACACACTGGTGTAGACCCTCATCAAATTAGCACCATATCGACCTGTTCTTTGCCATCTTGTAAAGCGCACTGCATGTCCTTCTCATTCTGTCACCTTTCTTTAATTCTCTTTGTTGTGTGTGTTTTTGGTTTCTTTCTCTTAATTAACAAAAAACAATTCTTTTGGGTGCCTGTGAATTCCATATGCAAGCACATTCTAGCTATATTATTATCATATTTACTCATTGTATACTTATCCAGCATCATCCGTCTCGGGCAGTATTTCAACCCTGGCGGGGCCCACTCCTCTCCAGGTGGAATATCATACAGAGACCACATTACATATAAAGAGGTTCGCCATAAAAGTATACAGCACATTGGCAACTATGAACCTCTTTTTAACTACAGTGAAAAGGTGAAAAATGCAATGGTATGGACATGTTATAAGATCTAATGGCCTCTGAAAATCAATACTGCAGGGCACAGTAGAGGGAAAGAGAGGAAGAGGCAGACCAAGAAAGACCTGATTACAGAACCTGACTGACTGGACATGCCTCAGGCATGCAACCATGAAGTCCACATCAACTCACCGCCAAAGATGGAGAGAGCTGATCAGACAGTCAACAGAAACTGGTGACCCAACGACACGTAATGTTACGGGATAATGATGATGATGATGATGATACTTATCCAGAGCCAGCATTTTCCCCTCACCTCCAGATACACAGTAATATTTTTAGTTCTCTTCTAAACTCCATTTAATATTCTTCCTGTTTTGTACAGATCTCTGTTAATCGTGTTTGTAATTATTAACAGTGTTTGTATCATAAAATTTCCATAGTTAGTACATCTCCTGTATTGTCTCTTTACCGTAGGTGAGCATTATACGAAAGACTCAAGGTACAACGGGCTATACTGCTACAAAGCTGATAGAAAGTGCTTTCATCTACTCATCCAAATTTCTGGGCTACATCCACCCACTGAACACTTCAGCTTTCAACGGAGAGAACCTGACCCTGTTTCTGGGACTGAAGAGCGCTAGAGCCGTGCTAAACTTATCACTGGACGATAGTGAGAGTCTTGAGGTTGGTTGTATACCTACTGGCTGGTCAGTTGTTCATTTATGTTGTTGAGGGCCTATGCTCCATTGATGGTTAGAAAGGCAGTAGATAAATGTGTTGCAGAGAATGTGTACTCCTGCAACTGATAGGGCATCAGCAGAGTGTGTGTGTTGTGTTTGTGCGTTAGTTTGTGCATACACTTACATAAGCATGAGCGTACACAGGGTCGTCATGTGACACTGATAGCATAATTTACGGAGGGGAAAAGCATTCTTTAACAAACAATCTCGGGCTGGGCCTTGAAGGCTTGAAGCAGTTTCACGAGACAGAAGGCCAGATTGACAGTTTAGATCAGAGCTTTCCAGACTGTTCATTCTAGGGACATTAGAGGAAAAGCAAGGTGGGCATATAATGATAATCATACTGCTACTGATATCATCAGTATTGGAACTCTTCACTCCCTGATGAAAATGAGGACAGGTCACTTATGGGAATGTCCTGAATGCTGTGATGTCTGTTTTTAGCTCAGCTCAACCCGCCTCAGTTTGTGACCCACTTTTGTTGACAAACATAACTTAACAACATGGTTATTCACTCTACTACCAAACCAGAGGCTAAACTAATCCCTTCTAAGAGACATGGACTCATTTAAGTTACTTTCACACAGCAGTTTTTCTGATGTTATCTTCCTATCTTGTTCTTTTTATACCTCTTGCTCTACATCCATTTTCCTCTTTTGGTATATGCCTTGTATTGTATAGCATCAAGAGGAATTCCCTCCAAGTAGGCAAACCATTTGATTTGCTGTCTTTGTATGTAATTTACAATTGCTTCTGTGCCAGCTTTATCTTGTATGACCTTATTCCTGATTTTTATCTCTTGTGGTAACCCCTGCAGTCTTTCTAGACATCTAATTGCAACATTTTCTACCTGCCTTTAATTCGCCATATAGGAACCAGTTTTTGTAGCCGTTGTGTATATTGCCACTTTAGAAATAATGAATTCATGCTTGTCCTTCATAGTCATTTCATCCCTTTCATATCTCCTAGGAATTCTTCAGGTACCGAAAGAGTTAACTCTGCAGCAGAAGGAAGTTGCTAGATTGAACTTTCTGTGGGCTGATCGGCAAATGTTACCGAAAGGTCACTTTGGGGAGAGAACTAAATGAGTTTCATTGGACCAAGAGGTGAAGAAAAAACACGGGTGTTTGATAGGACACGTGTTGAGAAAATCTGAGAACAATATGACTAGAATGTCTGTGCAAGAGAACACACAGGTGCATAAAAATAAAGGAGGACCAAAAAAAAAAAAACACACACACACACATGGAGAAGGGGGCTAGGGAGTGAAGTTAAAAAGATGGGAAGGACATGGGGAGTGTTGCCTGCGACAGCCAAGGATTGAATGACTTGGCATGAGCTGGTTAAGGGCCTATGCTCCATTGAGGGTTAGATAGGCAGTAGATAAATGTGTTGCAGAGAATGCGTACTCCTGCAAATGAGATAAATATTTGTCACTTTGGTTTTCATTGTCGCTGTCTATCAATGTGTTGTTAACAGGAGATTTTCATTGTCACTGTCTTTCATTGTGTTGTTAACAGGTGGTTTTTATTTTACCCGTCTATCAGTGTGTTGTTTACAGGTGGTTTTTATTGTTACCGTCTATCATTGTGTTGTTAACAGGTGGTTTGTATTTTAACCGTCTATCAGTGTGTTGTTTACAGGTGGTTTTTATTGTTACCGTCTATCATTGTGTTGTTAACAGGTGGTTTTCATTGTTACCGTCTATCAATGTGTTGTTAACAGGAGGTTTTCATTGTCATCTTCTGTCAATGTGTTGTTAACTGAAGGATTTCATTGTCACCGTCTATTAATGTGTTGTTAACAGGAGACGGTGATAGTGATGGCAGAAGCTCCCAAATTCAACTCAACCCAGGCCAGTAGAAAAAGTGGACTTGCAGTCTTCCCAGTTGTCGATAGAGGCCATAAGTACTTTATTCAGCTAGTGAGTCAATGAGGAAATCATTTTTGTTTGTTTACATGTGCACAAGCACTCACGCACACACATGTGAACTCTGTGCCTGTCTCTCTTTGCATCTCTGTGTCTTATTGTCTCTCTGTGTCTTTTACCTCTGTCCCTCTCCTTTTTTTTTTGGTGTCTCTCTTTCTGTTTTTGTCTGTCTTTCTGTTTTTCTGTTTTTCTTTCTGTCATTCTCTCTCTCTCTCTCTCTCTCTCTCTCTCTCTCTCTCTCTCTCTCTCTCTCTCTCTCTCTCTCTCTGTATCTTTCTTTCTCTCTTTGCATCTGTGTCTCTCTCTGTTTCTCTGTCTTTCTTTTGTCTCTTTGAGTGTTCTGAGTTGTCTTGATTTTTATATTTTCAAAATGGGTCTGTACAACTATTCTGTACAAACAGGGGGACTTTGTTGCTTGTTTTCAATTTGTCCCAGGATTCACAGACATATATTGAAATTAGTTTTGTAGGTACATCACTTTTAAACAGCATTATAAGTCTATTGCTAAGCACCAGCAAGCTAGTAAAGTAAAGATCCCTTTTCACGCCTTTAGGTGTATCGGGTATATGGGACGAGAGCCAATATTATTTACAGACCAATCGGCACTAGGTGGGTAAGTAATGTGGTCAGCATTACCCCGGCCGTCTTTACTTTCCCCAGGACAACCATCCTGGTACCCATTTTAGGCTGGGTGGGCCTGCGACGCCCCACACCATGATAAAAATAATCCACGCAGCCAGCAATTTTCTATGGCGGTACATTGGAATTACGAGTCGGACTGAGCCATGGATGCTGCACTGGCAAGCAAGCCAAGGTCAGAATTGGGAGAAAATGCATCTTTTCTATGACGGCATATAGATGAGAGTCATAGACTATCTCACAGATAAGGAAGAAAATCAGGACTTTTGAGCTGAAATGCTCCAGACCAGTAATTCTCAAACTGCGCGGCGATGCCCCAGGGAGCAGCAGCCTCTTTACAGGGGCGCCGCTAAATTTTCCGAGAACAAAAGATTTTTTTTTAAATCTCTAACCAACGCATAGTCATGCTTTTTCTTAGGTTATGGCGCCGTGGGAAAATGTTAATTGAAAAAAGGCGCCGCAACTAAGAAAAGTTTAGGAAACACTGCTGTAGACAGATTTTTTGAATAAATTTGTGGACCAAGAAGACAAGAAATACTGAGGTCCTAAAAGATCTAAAAGTCAAAGAAAATTGGCTTGTAAACAGCATCTTGTCTTGGAGACTGACATATTTCAGCCATGTTAAATGCTACTGTGGATTGGAAATAACTGTTATAGAGGGTATGGCACTGGAAAAAAAAGGGGCAGACGCCAACCAGCATGAAAATGGGCGCAGGATATAAGAGACTTCTTGGGCAGGAAAGTAAGAGGCCGGAGAGCTGGCACGGTACACATTTTTTTTTTCAGGCAGGCAATGATGGGAGCAGCTCTCTGTGAACCTGATGATGATTGACATCAGCAGGTGAGATGTATGATGCCACAGGAGACCACATGGTTTATGTCTGAGTTATGAGTTGGATTATCTTCACAACAGTCCGGACAATCTATAGTTGCTCAGAGTTTACGTTAGGTATATACATCCTCGTACCTTGGTTAATAGTGCCAGACCTATGCTGGTTGACCAGATTTCTTGTACGTCCATTGTGCCTTTCAAGCTTGGCTCTCTAAGGGCATTAACAATATCAGTGTGATCCATAGGCTAGCCGTCAGCAACTAAGGCAGAACCAGCTAGTCTGTCAGCTCTTTCATTGCCAACAACACCTGCATGACCTGGGATAATGATAAAGGTAACTGCATGCACAGGAGAGTTCGCAATGACTCAATCCACTGTCTACACACTGAGCCTGCCTCAACCCATCAGATCATGCTCATAGAATCACTTATCACACACGTATGGGAATTGTCCCGTGATTCCAGCCACATGAAATCTTGTGTCACGGCCATCACCTCCATGATTCCATCGTTATACTGCAGGTAGTCACAGAGAAGGCACTGCTAGCTTCCTGGACTGTTTTGCCTACAGAGCCAGCTGTGAATGCCCATACATTCTTGTGTCCTCATACAATTTACCTATCTGTGTAGATCAGCACATCTGCCTGATCTGAATTGTCACTGATAAGTGCATTTACCTCGGCATTGACCGCAACAGGATTCAGCTCCAGACAACTCCTGTCTAGCTTGACAGCACAGGAAAAGGTGTCATTGAGCGCTTTAGGGACGGGTATCAAATCCTTGCCAGCGTGGATGTCTGTAAGACTGCAGACTGCTTGATAACCTCCTCTGCCATACCTGACCAAGATTTGCAAATTTCATTTAAAATGGGTCTTTGGCTTAGGCGTTGTGAACATGCTTTGTAATGCGGTAGTGCCGCGTTTGGTCCCTCTTGCAGGTGATTTGGCAGCAGACTTCTTTAAGTTAGTTTCGACAGTGGTATCAAGAGCCGACTGTTTAGAGGCACTGGCAAATACTTAGCATAAACTTGTCTTTCATTGCCAACAACATCTGCGTACCTTGGGACAAAGATGAAATTCATGCACTGGGGTGGGCCTGTTCCAGAGATCTCTTCCTGCCCTGATGCTGTGAGGCATTCCAGCAGTAGAGAAAAGAAGAAGAAAGAAATTGTGCAATATATTGCTTGTGTCTTTTTTTAAAAATGTACTTGAAATTGACTCTGTTTTGATTTCCTCACCTGCTTCAGGCAACAGAACAGTCTCGTCCTCCACCCGGTCCTCAAACTTCCCCTGTAGAAGCTACCATCACCCTGGGATGGAATGGCGGTCTTCACCAGTCTTCCAAACAGCACCTCATTACGGCAGAGTTTTTGGAGCCATACAGGTGACGATGGGTCTTCTTGGGCACTTTATCAGATAATCACAGTTCCTACTTTATGACACATAGGTCACTTTGACAGTTAATTGGTTAATCACAGTTTCAACATCACGACGCACAGGTCACTTTGACGGTTAATTAGTTAATCTCAGTTTCAACATCATGACGCACAGGTCACTTTGACAGTTAATCACAGTTTCAACATCACGACACACAGGTCACTTTAACAGTTAGTTAATCACAGTTTGAACATCACGACTCACAGCTCACTTTTACAGTTAATTAGTTAATCACAGTTTCAGCTTCACGGCACACAGGTCGCTTTTTGAAAGGTAATCACAGTTCCAACTTCATAACACACAGGTCACTTTGGCACTTAATCGGATACTCACAGTTTCAGCTTCACGACACACAGGTGACTTTGGCACTTGATCGGATAATAACAGTTTCAGCTTCACGACACACAGGTCACTTTTTGATAGTTAATCACAGTTTCAGCTTCACGACACACAAGTCGCTTTTTGATAGTTAATCACAGTTTCAGCTTTAGGACACACAGGTCAATTTGGCACTTAATCATGTAACCACACTTCTAACTTCACGGCACACAGGTCACCCAGTAATTGTTCCATTTGTGTGACAGCTAACCCTAACCCTAACATCTAACCCTAACCCGCATCCATAATTTCCCAGGAATTCTGGGATTTTCTTTGTTTGGGGTAACTTAAAATGAAAGTACCCTATTGGCTTGCCAATCCACCGTATTGTTCTGGAGTTTTTTTTTTTTATTTTCCAACAGTAATCACCTTGGTGTGGTCACTCTTTTCACGCCTTGAGGCGGATAAGATAGTTTGACCATCTAATGCAAATGTCTTGTTGCCAGCTGCTACAGAAAGCCATGCTGAAGAAATACAAGCTGTAATAAACACTCCGGAAATGGGAAAATCATGGAAAATATGGAATGACGGCATCAAGAACAGCCTTAGATTCGACACCACAGCATTCAGGATAAGCCCATATAAAGGTCTTGACCGAAAAATTTCATTTAAATATGAAAGCTCTTGATTGGAAAGTTTTACTTGAGCATGAACTTCGTAACTCATGGCTCATCCTTTGGTCTTCTTCTTCTTTTTCATTTTCTTCTTCTTCTTCGCATTTACCAGCTACAAAGTCCGGCAGAAAGTTCTGGTTATTCATCCACTTCTGGACTTTATTCTTGTTCCAGAACCTGAGTTCCGCGTGCATATCAGTTTTTACATCTGTGGCTTTTGGGGGTGGGAGTGGGATTTTTTTGGGATAATGCAAACTGTTGGTTCCTTGCTTCTCAGGCAGAGAAGCACTCTAACTTCAAAGAAAATACTTCTAATTAGTTGAATTTTACAACATACTAGTTAGGGACCAGTGGGTCTATCACCCCCACCCTCCTCCCCCCTCACTCATGAGACACCAAACCACATTTGTGGAACACTGTTAAAAAAAACCCATACTGTATTAGACAACACATAGAAGACTGCTAGAATCCATATTTGTATATGTTGCCTTTTATTCCTCAGCAATGGCAACTGCAGCAGCAGCTATAACTGCCTGGCTTGTCTGTCGGACACCTTGTGCAGTTGGTGTGAGGTGAAGAGAGAGTGTGTGCCCCGGAACATCAGTGAGGATTACTGTCAGGACCAGCGTCGCCAGCATTACCTCATCACCTACCCCTCAGAGTGCCCTAGCTGTGAGAATTATGTCCGTTGCGCCGCCTGTGCAGCTGTAAGTGATGATGATGGATTTGTGTTTGAATGTTTGATAAAATGCTTCAGGCTGCTGTCATGTTAGACCCGCCGCCTGTGCAGCTGTAATGATGATGATAAATTTGTGTTTGAATGTTTGATCAAATGCTTCAGGCAGCTATCATGTTAGACGCGCCACCTGTGCAGCTGTAAGTGATGATGATGGATTTGTGTTTGAATGTTTGATAAAATGCTTCAGGCTGCTATTATGTTAGACGCGCCACCTGTGCAGCTGTAATTGATGATAGATTTTTGTTTGAATGTTTGATAAAATGCTTCAGACAGCTATCATGTTAGACGTTACATAAGATACGCGTTTCGGGTAAAATGTGCAGTTTACGGAATATTCCCAGGTTGGGTGAATATGTGGTTTCAAAGTTGTTTTTGTTTTTTGTTTTTTTAAATAACTAAACAGCATTTAAAAAAATGTTTAGCTGAGTAACAGCAAGCAAATCAAAGTCAGAATGAATATTGAGAGCATGTATTTACCTGCAGCAACATAAACTATCTTTCACTAGAATTGTGGTTTATGATCGATGGAAGCAGCACTTAAACAAATCAACAGTTGCACCACACACAGTATGGCATAAGGCATCACCAGTTGTGCAAGCAATAGGCCACCTGCCGTTTTCTGAATCTGCAGTGCACAACACAAATCATGTTGGGCATGGTCAAAGGTCATCACACTTGAGGTTATCAGTGGGGAATCACAAATATAGACCATCATGGTCTGAGCAGAGTTGTGGAGCGGGCAGCGACTAGGGGATGTCTCCATCATCGTCGTCATAAACCACTTTTGCCTCTAAGCGTCGTAGGGAGAAATAATTTGCCTTCCAGTGCACGCTGGCTGCCACTGGCTATTGTCATGCCGTAAAGGCGTAGAGTGTCTTTAATGTTGTCGTTCCATATTTCCCCGGCCGTCCTCTTGCTCTTGAAGCTGATCTTCTGAGATGTGGTGCTTGTGATGGTATTTGATTGTGCTGCATTCAATGGAGATGGCCAAACTACTTGATCTGCTGTTTCTCGATGAATCTGGTACAAGGTGTCGTTTCCACAATTTGCCTGATAGTTTCATTATTCACTCGATCTCGGATGGTTAAGTTGGCTGCTTTTCTCAGGCATCTCATCTCGCAGGTGGTGATTTTGCGTATATGGGCTTTAGATAGTGTCCATGTTTGGCACTGGTAGCTAAATGTTGGAATGAAGATGCTGTTTATAAGACTAGGAGATGTGGCCGACATAAACACTCAGGTGAAAGGTATGGTGGTTGTTGAAGCATGTTGCTACAGGAACCATCAACACTGGAACTTTTTGCTCGCTGCTGAAGGTGAACACAAAGCAGTTATGGTACTGTCTTTAGTGCTATAATGTCCATTTGTAATTCAACTGACCTTCTTCTTCTTCTTTACACTCACCAGCTGTAACTCAACTGACCTTCTTCTTCTTCTTTACACTCACCGGCTGTAATTCAACTGACCTTCTTCTTCTTCTTCTTTACACTCACCGGCTGTAACTCAACTGACCTTCTTCTTTACACTCACCGGCTGTAACTCAACTGACCTTCTTCTTCTTCTTTACACTCACCGGCTGTAACTCAACTGACCTTCTTCTTCTTCTTTACACTCACTGGCTGTAACTCAACTGACCTTCTTCTTCTTCTTTACACTCACCGGCTGTAACTCAACTGACCTTCTTCTTCTTTACACTCACCGGCTGTAACTCAACTGACCTTCTTCTTTACACTCACCGGCTGTAACTCAACTGACTTCTTCTTCTTCTTTACACTCACCGGCTGTAACTCAACTGACCTTCTTCTTTACACTCACCGGCTGTAACTCAACTGACCTTCTTCTTTACACTCACCAGCTGTAACTCAACTGACCTTCTTCTTCTTTACACTCACCGGCTGTAACTCAACTGACCTTCTTCTTCTTCTTTACACTCACCAGCTGTAACTCAACTGACCTTCTTCTTCTTCTTCTTTACACTCACCGGCTGTAACTCAACTGACCTTCTTCTTCTTTACACTCATCAGCTGTAACTCAGCTGACCTTCTTCTTCTTTACACTCACCAGCTGTAACTCAACTGACCTTCTTCTTCTTTACACTCACAGGCTGTAACTCAACTGACCTTCTTCTTCTTCTTTACACTCACCGTCTGTAACTCAACTGACCTTCTTCTTCTTTACACTCACCGTCTGTAACTCAACTGACCTTCTTCTTCTTTACACTCACCAGCTGTAACTCAACTGACCTTCTTCTTCTTCTTCTTTACACTCACCAGCTGTAACTCAACTGACCTTCTTCTTCTTTACACTCATCAGCTGTAACTCAGCTGACCTTCTTCTTCTTTACACTCACCAGCTGTAACTCAACTGACCTTCTTCTTCTTCTTTACACTCACCAGCTGTAACTCAACTGACCTTCTTCTTCTTTACACTCACCAGCTGTAACTCAACTGACCTTCTTCTTCTTTACACTCACCAGCTGTAACTCAACTGACCTTCTTCTTCTTCTTCTTTACACTCATCAGCTGTAACTCAGCTGACCTTCTTCTTCTTTACACTCACCAGCTGTAACTCAACTGACCTTCTTCTTCTTCTTTACACTCACCAGCTGTAACTCAACTGACCTTCTTCTTTACACTCACCAGCTGTAACTCAACTGACCTTCTTTTCTTCTTCTTTAACTCACTGACCTTCACACGCTGTAACTGTAACTCTTTACACTCACCGGCTGTAACTCAACTGACCTTCTTCATTTTCTTCTTAACATTAACTCCACTGGAAAATTCTGGTTGTTTGTCCTTCTGTGGGCTTTAGTTTTATTCCAGAACCTGAGTGTTGCATGCATATCTGTTTTACAGATCTGATTTATGTGTATGCATAAACTGATATGTGTCAGCCTCAACCACTTTAGAGACTCCATCTCTTCTCCGTTTTCCTGATAATACCCATTGTCACTAAGAAAGCATGAGTGGGAAAAGGTCTGTGTCTCCAGCCATATTGCTTTATTGACTGCCAGGACCTCCATAGTCAGTTTACTTGTGGTCAAGGCAACAGCACCAGAATCTTGATTTACAACTTTGTTAATCTTCCTCCTACTCCGCTCTCTCTCTCTTCTTCCTCCTACTCCTCATGCAACTTTGCTAACTCCAACTTGAGCCATAAAATCCCAAGAGCTTTTTACATGATAATTTACAAACGCATCTGTGTAAAATACAACTTCCCCTTTAGAGTATTCTCCAAAATCAGAGGTTGAAATTGTGTATCAACAGATGAATGGACTTTCTTGTCTACATTTTCTGTCTAGTCAGACGAAACAGGAAAGGTTGTTCAGTGCGTTGTTGGTATTTGTACCCATTCCTCACCAGGTTCTTTGTCCTCAAGTGAACGCACATGCCGAATAATGTCCTTAGCCTGACCCATTCACGATTGTCCTCTTTTTAACCTGCTGCCTTTATTCTTCCTAATTTCACCATGCAGTGGATGTCTTGTGTCTGCATTGACTCTAAGGTAAGCGCCTGCTTACACTGAACACCAACACCTGTAAAATTTGGGAATGCAGTGTGACCCGGCTCATCAAACAGAGCAGGCGTTATCATTAGTTTTACGCTTGTGGAGCTAATTAGGAGGAGATCGGAGCATCTGTGCATCTCTCTAGAGTGCTGTGATAATAATCGTCACTAATCAGCATTAACAGGATTGCAGTTAATTGATCATAATAATTGTTGTTTCCCTATAACAGGACCCTTTATGTGAATGGGTAGTTGAAAATGGTTACTGTACCCGGAGGTTGCAAAGTCCGCATGGTGCTGTCACAGATAGTGCCAAGTGTAGACCCCCATGTCACCAGTAAGTAACTCTTGTCTGTGCTGGCATAATTACTACAACTTGTGGCATACAAGTTTACCACAAAATTGTTAGCTCAAAATTCTATGCTAGGCTTAAAAATATGTGTGTGTGTATATCTGGAGGATTTCCAGTTAAATGGTGGCAGACAGTTGTGTTTTTTTTGTAGCTGCTTCACTTTCACGTTATTATGGATGTTTTACATCCTTTACATGTAATGTTTTGTGCCAAGATGTAAACAGTTTTCTTTTTTTTCCCTCTCAAGATTTTCGCCGGGGCTACAGAGTTCGTGCATCTGTGTGAAACCATCCTTGAGTTTATCTTTTAAGTGTGTAGGGTACCTGATTATGTTGGGTGTTTGGTTTTCGATAATGGGGGAACAGCGTTTATGTCTCTTTCACAAAACAAACAAGCCTCGAAGGCATGGTTGAAGGTGGAAAAAGCAAAGCAGGTGCGCTGGGGCTGGAGCACACGGCTCAAATATGCCCTTCTAGGCCCCAACAAAATTTGTATACTGTATTGGAATTGCGCTAGCACAAAGCAGCGTGGATCCATTTTAGACCGCCTAGTTTACAGCAGCAATATTGTTGCACTACAGGAATCACAACTTGGTGATAACACACTACACATGTCCGGTTTCAACTCTTTTTACAACAGGGGACACCTGGGATTAGCCATCCTTAATCGAGATGGTGAAGTAGCTTTAGAGATGGACATGTCTAGGTGGGACAGTGACGAGATACAATTCCAGGCGGTCAGAAATTCAGGCCGAGCATTCTTTTGTGTTGGTGAATGTTTATGCCTGCAACGCGAGCGTGGACTTTCAGAGGTGGCTGTGTTTAAGTAAAATAATATCTCACGAGAGAAATGTTGTTTTCTGTGAGAATTTCAGCGCTAAAGGCAGATAATGGGGGAACATTTAATCTAATGCACAGGGGTAAGAGCTTGAGGCCTTGTTTGAAACTGTTGACTTAGTTTGTATTAACAGTGGCAG